GGGCCCGAGACTCCAACCACAGTCAGCTACATGGGAGTCCAGCGACATAGCCATTACACTAATTGCTGGTCCCTATAGATGTTCTTTTAAGCTAAAGGTTTGAAATGCTTTTCAGTGTCTCTGAATTTTATTTTTCTTTTTAATAAATGAGGTATATACCCTTAAATATCCTTTTCTCCAGAGTATCCAGGTCTTAATACTATAGAAATTGACAGATTTTTACCAATAATTTTTTTTTTCAGGATGATTCGGTATAATTTTCCTTGGCATAAATGTTCCTAAGCAGAAATGTTCAAGTCTCTTATGCTACTTAGTATATGACATAGTTAGAGTTGGGGCTCTGCTGTTATAAACTGTGTTTTCAAATAACTTTTCTTTCTTTTACTTCCTATTTCCCACTCCTTTTCCTCTACCCTATCTAACCCTACCCTATTACTAGGCAAAACCAAGGGCTTTTGTCCCAGAGAATGATTATGTCTCCAGAAGCGAGATCAGTTTTAAATTCTCTTTTGCTAAGGGTAGCCAGTTGTAGTAAGTACAGTCGCTGAATTTGTGTGTTGCTTCTTGCATAGCCAGAGTTGCGCTTGCTCTGATTTGTGTGAAGTTATGAAATGTGACTTTGGTTTTTATTACATGAAACACTAAAAACCTGATTTACAGAGTGTGTGTTTCCAAAACTCTTCTTCCAAAGACTTGTCTAACCTTTACTAAAAGACTTTGTCATTAGAAATAAAGAAAAGAAAGCTACTAACTGTTTAACCTATTTTAACCTGCTATTGCAGCGACGCAGTTGTGCTGTTCAGGGTGGTTTCTATTGTGGACAGGATGCTTTCACTGAGATACGCAATCCACATATGCTTCCGATTTTTAAATGTGATACTGCTGTTTCCTGAGTCACTCCAAATTTATGCTTGACCCATAAGCCCTAGAGATGCCTTAAGGTGCCCTTACTGCTTTCTAAATATATTCCTTTGTCCATGAGGAAAGCATCTAGTACATTCCCTTAATTTGAAAAATACTTAAAATGTGACTTTCTACACATGTGAGGACGTCTCCAAAAAGTTTGTGGGAGAAAAAAGAAAGCCTTTTATGAAAGAAATACACATGGATTTCAAAACTTTTTGCCTCAAAATTAATTCATACCGGGAACCAGCAGTTAGCGTAATGGCTATGTCGCTGGACTCCCACGTAGTCGACCGCGGTTCGTGTCCCGGACCCGGTGGCTTAAAACTCACGCCAGGCGCGTGTGCGTGCGTGCCCAAGATCCCGAGAGGAGAATGGAGGAGAAGGGATTGCGGCGTGACCATCCCCCCTGGGGGGGTGATTTCTCGCTTTCTGTCTCTATGTCTCTCTGTCTGTCTGGCGAGCGCACGCACCCTACAGTGAAAATCTCTCCAAAAAAAAAAAAATTTAATTCATACTTTTATTTTTTCCCCACATTTTGAAGCCCCTTTATGTTTTTTGAAAAGCTAAAAATGTAACTCACACAAATAGAAAATGAGCATGTGTCAAAGCTTCACTTAATTCACTAATGAGGGAACTAGCAGAATGGTAAAGCAGATTCAAAGAGATTTCAAGATACTGAAGGAGTATCTTATTCCAGCAGAAGAATAACATTTCTAAATTAGACACAACCCCAGTTAATGTCTTGTAGGCCAGTAAACCTATAAGCATAATCTTTTCCTCCTAGACAGAAGCTATCTGTGTTTCTTCCAGACAAAAGCATACAAGTTAATGTGTAACGTAACACAATCTGGGGCCTATTAATGCTAAATTAAACAAGAGTATACCTTCCTGGGGGATTAAATAATTCCTTCATATGCCTTTTAGATGACACTTCAGTAACACATTGAAAGAAAATGCTGTCATCTTTTGCATTATCTTTAGGTTTTGGGCAATTTTTCTTAACAGTGCTTTCTACTAATTTCTTTGAGTGTAGAAGTCTTTGCTCTGATGGCACAAAAATGATCACATGTCATAACTTGTCTGATTTCCTTGAATAGACAGTACACAGAGGCCAGTCAACTGGACAGTACAGACGGAAGCCGGTTGGAAGACAACCTGGACAGTGGTGAGCAGACGCTCTTTTGGCATGAGGATTCCAAGCCTGGAACATTAGTCTGAACTGCAGTTGAACCTCTTGACCCAGCACTGCGTTCTCACACTAGTGTGCCTTGCAAATACACTCGTCTTCCCAGAAGGCCTTTGGCTTTAGAAACCCAGAGACATCAGAGGTTGAAGAGAAGCCTGGACGTTGCCCTGGAAGTAAATCCCACATTAAGATCTACAGAGCCCTGAGTGAGGACTTGCCTTTCACACTCCAGGCGCCCTCCCAGCAGTGAGGTCTGGCCCCATGTAGAACCATTGCCAAGAGAGGACTCCGTCTGAAGCCTGCATCCATGGCAAGCACTTTTTAAGGGAATACAAGTTGTCGAAGGTAAACCTCCGAACTGTGAAGGTGCATTCAGGTGTCCCATGAGGAAAGAAGGACAGGGGAGCGTTCGCAGCACAATGTGGAATGGTGAGAGGAGGGAAACCAGAAGCTCCTGAGTCACTGCTCACCATCACGTGGTTTGAATGTGTGCGCCAACAGAGAATAACATGCTATTTGTACACGGACATGATCAACGTAGACAGTATTGGAAAATTACTTGAAGAGAACTGGGATTTTCATGAATATCTGAATGAGTGTCAATGTCAATGTTTTCCGGATATTATCATGAGTGATGTTTTTCATAAGCGTCATCACATGGGTTCTAGAAAGACTGACTGCTATAGCATCTTGTAATATAACTTCACGGTAGCAGATAGGGGGAAACGAAGCAGTCTCTGAATAATTGACAAATTCTGCTTGGAGAATTTTCTGAGGTACAAGATCGCTGAGCTCTTTTTTTTTTTTTTTTTTTTTTTTTTCTCCCCCAATTGCCCAATGGGCCGCTTT